ATCTCATTGTTGAATGCTATATTCATTATTCCCAAGTGTGGAATTGATAATTATATTTTTAAAAAGAAAAGAAGTAAAAATAAAGATAAAAGAAGAAACAATACTAAATATGAGGGGTCATAATTTTTTTTGTTCTGTTCTAACCTTCAACTGTCTGACCTTCTCTTAATCAAACTCAAATTTAATTAAAAGGTTTTATTTACATTTACTCTTTGTTCTAATCCATTAATGGTACTCAGTGCATAATAGATGTATAACAAGTGAATGTGAATTGTTTTAATTTGATATTGTAGAATATAAATAATGTGTTTTGATAATTTTATTAAAGAATTTCACCTACTTCTGGGACTATAGGGCTTGAACTATATTATTCTTATATTTAATCTTTGTGATATTGATAAAAAAAATGATCTGTTCTTAAAGAATAATAGGAAGTATGAAATTTAATATCATTTGAGTTTCTTAGATGATGCATTGCCAGTTGTTATTAGCCTTTTGATGAATATTTTTTCATCTTAATTTATGTTGCTCTGAGTGATGCAATAGGAAAATAAAATAAATATTTGTCAAATGATTAATTATAGTAGGATCAAGTTTGATGATTAAGAGTGGGAAACTGAATAAAAAGAAATAAGTAGATATGAAATTGTAGATTAATACTAAAGGAATTTTAAAGATTTTTTTTTTTTTATTATTTTTGTTTGCTTTACTTTGTGATTAATATTTTTGTCAAATGTTTTGTCATATAATAATCCAAAGATCAGCCAATAAGTAGGAAATTAGAAAGAGAAGTTTAAAGTTGATTGCAATTTCTATCTGCTTAGCAAACAAATTTTCCTAAAAATATAAAAGAAACATTTAACAAATTTAATTGATTTGCTATATTTCATGGTTTATATTCTTGAATTATCTTTCAATATATTTCTTTCACACTTATATTCATTTATTAAAATAATGTCAAATTTGACTACAATTTGTATTACAATGTTCCTCATTAAGCAACTGATGAAAGTTTTGTAATTGTATGTTTTGAATAGTTTTATATTTTTGAATATGTTGTAGCTAATGAGCAAAATATTTTGATTATAAACAAAGATGCTTTTAATGAAATACTCTAAACATTCTGTGATATTTTAGTGTCCTACTTCAATTTAACAATATTTTATTTGCAATCTAATTCCATTGGTTAAAAAGGATTCCAATACATTTCCTACATAACAGCACTATGATTGACAAAAATCTGTGCAAGAAGTGGATCACAGAGATAAAATCCTACCTTACTATTTCTCCAACTCCTCATTGGTCAAATAATCCTAATATCGTGTTCTCACCTACGTACATGCAGTTGACCTGTTCAAATTGGCAACAACACCTACACATAATTCAAAACCATTTTTCAGCTAAAATCAGAAATGCTCTCTGGAGCCTACCACATAGCTAGTTTCATTATAAATATGTAGTAAATCTTCACTCTTCCTCATTTTGCTTCTCTTGCGTACCGACCATATATTCCTGCAGAGAAAGGTCACATTTGTCCCTTTAACAGAAAACACTATGCAAACACTATGATACACATACACGTAGGTATAAACATTGAACATCTTTGAACTCATCTCCTTCACTCTTTACACAGAGACTTATTCAACTTTACAACTTTTGCCTCTTGTCAATATTCACCATTGAGAAATATTACTTCCAAATCCTCCGGAGCTATAAGTTATGATTCAACATATTTTCAGCTTTCCCGAATTCTTTCACTCATATTCATCTCTCTTGGTGAACAGCAATAAGTGGCAAGTTAATTCAACTTTTCGATATTCAAGTGAAGATTATATTTTCTCTCCATCTACAAGTCTCTTTGAACTCCTCTAACACCAATTTTCAGCCTACAATACCTTCTTATCAAAGAACATTCTTTCCATTGAAGCTTACTATTATTTCACAAACTGAAATCTTTTCTCTGAGTCCAGCTAAAAAATATATCTTCCATAAAGTTTTAATTAATTCAAATAACAGTTAAATGAAATAACTCCTGCTGTATTATTACTGCATAAAAATCACACACTTGATTGTTTTGTATGTCATACAGTAAAATGAAGATTGTTGTTATAGAAACAGTTTTTGTGTTGTTTCTCTTGTTTGCTTTTCATTTGCTTACATATTTGTAAAGTAAAAAATGTACAGGTTGAATTGAGGCCATTCAATAATTACCCAGATATTCAAATATGGATATATTAAATAAAACTAAATTTTGCTTTATTTATTTAAAGTTTTGTGTGTCCCAAATTGTTTCAGTACTAATTTAGTAAGATGAGGTGATAAACTGTTCTATATTAATCAAAGAGGATTCATAGATCATGACACTTTCAATGCATCTTCATCTGAATAACATATTCACTTATTATTAAAACAGCATTTCTAGTTCAAAAACTGGGATCAAACGGTCCTGGTATCATACCAATGAAATGATTATATTGCTAGATTTTAAGTGCCTTTGTATATTCTCTTCCTTCTCTGATGATGCTGATTCATTGACAAAACGTTAAAATAAAATTTTCCAAATTGTTTTATATATTTATTACATTATAATATGTAAAATGATCAGTTAAAAACAGGACAGGAAAATGTGATATATATAGCATTAATTATATCATTACATATCTACATTGAAATTAATATAATTAAAATGCAGTGAACTGGTTAATGATAATGATAATCGTTATGAATATTTTTATTATGAAGATGATTATTTATTCTTATGGACAGTTATATTAAAATTGTTTGAAAATAATTAAATTGTCAATTATTTGATTTTCCTTTTCTTGACAATGGTAATATTAGCTGCTTCTTTATGATGAAACATTTGGTATTCATTGACTAAGCAGCCAGTGCTACTTTTGGTTGAAATTTATAAAATCTTTCTCTTCAAACAATTTTGTGAGAAAATAGATTTCTCAAGTCCAGTAGCTCTTATTGCTCTTTCTAGTATTGACAAGGGTGTCCTTCCTAACCTTTTGTTTGAAGTAGTGTGAAACATCAATATTTTGATTGTTATTATTTTCTCTTCAAATTACATGTGCTATCTAGTTGGCGAAAGTCCTCAAGTGATATGACTTCTGTTATTTGGTACAGTTCTTTGATTTTAGTGCCAGTTCATAATCTTTATCAAGATCCACAAGCTTCACTTGCTTAAAGCTATTGTTAACTGTTGGTCTTAGAAAGCAGTCATAAACAGCTGACAGTTTAGATATTTCTGTATTTTGGTGATATGCCACTGAATTTTTTTGCTAAGAAAAATGTATAAGATTCATTGAAATGATACATAAATGAATTAATCTAAACCATATTCTCTTTTTGGCTAATATTCCTTTCAAGAAAATATTCCATTGAGTTAATTTTCAAGATGTTACTCAAGTATTTGTAACTTTTTCTTTTACTACTATTAATGAGAATAACAGATTTGTATGAATTTTTGAGATGAGGAGTTATCATTATTTACATTCAGACTAACGTCCTCATCTTTGTTGTTATTATCACCCGATCCCCTTCAGTTTGAATTTCTGGGATGAGGAGTTATCATTATTTACATTCAGACTAACGTCCTCATCTTTGTTGTTATTATCACCCGATCCCCTTCAGTTTGAATTTCTGGGATGAGGAGTTATCATTATTTACAATATTTACCTTCATATTTATTGTTGTTATTACAGTATTTCATTCCTTGTGCTCTCTGGCCTTGTTCAGATGGTTGTTGATCTAGATAACCTTTAACCTGATGCATTTATTTAATCTACAAAGTGGATTGTTCTTCTCTTCACTTCATGTCTAGGGATATCTCATCTTGTTCTTATTTAAATTATTGCTCACCCTGTTTTCACTGAGTCTAAGTCATTATTGCAGTAGAATTAGAACAATCTGTCTATTTAGATTAAATAAAAGATTCAGTTTGGAATTTCCAGAAGCTTACACAGATCAACAGACACCAGAGGGCACACTGACTGAAACATTTTGATAACAGCAATAAAAATGGAAATATTAGTTATAATGTAAATAGAATAACAGGGTATCAGTTAAGGCTGAAATAGTTTTCCATTTTTTTTAATTTGGAAAGAAAGTCTTGAAAATATAAAATTCTTAGTTTGTCTCAAAGGAAAGAAATTACTTTTGTAAGCAATTATTAATTCAGTTTAAATCTTTCTTTTCATATTTTTAATTGGAAAAATAGCAATTGCTCCAACTGCTATAGAAAATGATGCCTACATGGAAAAGTCAATGTTCCATCTGCACACATCTTTTCAAGTTAATAATACACTGAAGAAAAATTTGAAGCAGGTATACAATTTAGGGAAAGTGTTTTATAGCTGCAGATTCTATGTATATCATAATAGCAGAAATTTTATATTTTTTTTACAGTTCTGTTTTAATTGGAGATTTAAATTTAGACAGAATCTAAAACCTTGTTGAATGGATCTTTCCTTCCAGTAATAATCTGTGAGAAACATAATTTTTGGAATTTATTGGCAATTTCTATTAAAAAAAAAAAAAAAATTAGGATTATCAAAATAGATGCATACAATACACTGCTAATATTTCAGCAATTGATTGTTTAGCATACCTTTTAATACAGGCAAACTAATGAAAAGAGTTTTCTCTTAATTTACTGAGTGGATTGTATATCCTTCTGATATTGAACATTGTTATAGCTTTTGATTGTTGATTGATTTATTTTCTACAGCTTATCAACCTTTTGTGGGTTATTTAAAGCCAGAAATATTTTTTAGATCGAAAGAATTTTTTTTTTTTTTTTTTTTTTGAAACAATAATGGTTTAACAGCTCTTACTAATTAACATATAGCTGGGGGGAGAAAAGGTGGATTCATACGTTTCCCAAGGGTATTTGCATGTGAGTGAATATAACAATTCCAATGGGAATTGAAACTCAGATCTCTGATAAACAATTCCAAGCTGTTATCCATTACACCAACTACACATCCAAGCATTCTACACCTTCTATTCCCAAGTGGTTACCTATTTAGGTACTGACCAGGCTTGACATTGCTTAACTTCAGTGATCATATGGGAACTGGTGTTTCAAAGTCATATGGCTGTAAGCCTATAGCTTTTGAGAAAGGTTCAAGAGTTAGTAATGATATAAACCATAAAAACTAGTTCATAATCTTTTTTTTTTTAATCACTTCACCTCAAGCAAGGCAATAATGCCATTAAGAGGCAAGGAGTTACTGAGAGTGAAGGAAAATGAAAAGAAATTAAAAGGAATTCATCTGCTATGATATGAAAATAAAGCAAAAAAAGAAAGAATGTATAAATTTTATATAGGTAATAAATTCAAAATGTAACATCAAGAAAAACTTTGAAAGTTACCATAAATATAAAACATGATTGAAATTGGAATAAGGATGAGAGATAGATTGTTAAGTCAGATTGTACTTGACTTTGTAGATCTGGTAAAATAGTTAATTTAAGGATACTTTAGAAACATTTGTACCATTATACCTGTAATGCTTTCTTTTTATTTTACTGTTGAATTAGGTAAATATACCCACTCTTTTCTCTTACCTTCACTCTCTGTAACCTTCTGCATACTAGTGGCATTCCCACCTCCATTGGGGGAAAGGGTTTTAATAAAAAATTGTATTTTCATTTCGACGTATGAAAAGGGCATTTGCAATTGACCAAGTACAATTTTACTAATAGTCATTTTTCATAGAAATAAATAAATAATAAAAAGGACTTTTCACAAATTAAACCTCAAAAACAAAAAGCATTTTTCTCAGTAGCTTTCTTGTAATGAAATGTTTAAGAAAATATTAATTTTAAAATGAAGTGAAATTGAACCTGTAAAAAGCAGGCAAACTTTTTGAGAATAAAGAAAGATGAACTTGCTACAAGTGAACATCCAATCAGGACAAAGAAAAAACATAAAATGCAACAAAATGCAATTTGCAACAGAAAATCACAGTAAATAATAATAATAAGTGTTTTCAGATGATAAAATGATTTTTCTTGACGTTCTGGATTGATGGAGTTTCATTATTTCATATAGTGTTCTGATTATTATCTTTATTTTTTTTTTTGTTTTTAACATAGTATTTCAGCTGCTAAAATGTTTTTCTCTTTCTTCAGGTTTGTGTAAAATAGAAGCTACTTTCTAATTTTTTTTCTTTCCTTTCTCTTGTTCTCATGACGAACACTATGAGACTGTCATCTTAACGTGTTCCACTTAAAATGATGAAAAGAAAAGCTTAAGTACTAAATGTATTCTAAAGTTTGCATATTCTCCAAGTGCTTCAATTTATGAAAATTTGCTGTATGTCACTTTCCTTTTATAAAAGACATATTTGAAACCTTTCTATTTTTTTGATAACCAAAATAAATCATTGGTTTTCTCTCAGTTATCAAAAAATATATATATATATATATATATATATATATATATATATATATTTATTTTATTATAAGATATTATAACAAAAATATGTTGAAATAGCAACACAATAGCTTTTGTAGTTTGACATGATGTTGTACCTCTTCAGTACTTACAATTTTGTATTTCTTCAGTCATTTAATATCACTTGAAGAGATACAACATAGTGTTGAAACACTAAATTTATTGTGTAGCAATTTCAACATGGTTTTGTTATATCTTATAATATATTAGCCTACTTTCTATTGAGCACTTTCTTAAAAGTAAATGCTATGAATAGCAGAATTTTAGTTCATCTGTTCTTTCTTTCATTTGGAGATATATATATATATATATATATATATATATATAATAAAAGGTAGGTGTTGTAAAGTGTGAGTGAGTTGGTGGTGGTTGACATCTGTTTTTAAAAATATATCAGCTGGAACATATTAATAGCAATAAAGGTGACAAATCTCATCAGAATCATATATGAAATTGAGAGATGGATGTTGAGAAATGTTTGTCTATTTAGAGACAACATTAGGAATACAAGAACACACTGACATACCTTTTTAAGCATGATTTTCAGGTGTATACATTATACATATTCTGGTAATCTCTCAAGTTTATAGAAAAATGTAGGTGTATCTGATAATTTGTGTGTAACATAATGCTATTTTGTATACATGGATGGTATTAATAACTATTTTGGAATAAACAAGAAATTTGGAATTTTTTTATTCAAAATATAATAACTGGGGTAGATTGGAAAACTTTGAAGATTTTAGTTTATTTTCCCAAGGGTAGGTAAATATAAATATTTTAAGAGAGTTTTTTTGAATTTTTGAAAGTTTTACTGCAAATATGAACATGACAAAGCATGGTTTTAATGTTCTTCACGGCTTTGCTTTTAGAATAATGCACTTAAGAGCCACAACTAATAGTTCTTTTCTCAGCCATATCTCATGAATTATTTTTAAAATAACCAGAAAAAATGACATTTTACACAACTAAACTATTATTTTGATTTGTTATGATTCAAATTAATTTTTAGAATTGAATGAATTATAATTTGAATGGAGTTTTAAAATCTGTATCAAATCAGTTTTCAATTCTAAATAATAATTTTCATAGAAATGAACATTTTTCTAGAAAGTTTCCATGAAAATAAATAAATGGGAAGATTGAAATTTTTTCCAAAAAATTAATAAGCAGTGGAGGAGTGTGACTCAGGAGTAATTTAACTTTCTAGCTAATCTCAGTCAATGTTTTTGGGTAGAAATATATAGATAAATCTATTATTGTTTTATATAATGCAGACATGTTTATGTAATTATTTTGTCTTTCTAATAAGTCAGAAAATTTCCCACTGGATTTATATACAATTTTGAACAATGTGTAAAACAGAAGATCAGTGGGGAGTTAGATTCTGCTATTCCATTCTATGGTGTGAAATATTTTTCCAGTCATCACATGATCTTACTTGGCTTTCTTTACTGTCAGACATGCATACACATACTTTTATGTGTATGTGTATATATAACAGGAACATAAATACATATGCATACACACAAATACACATACATACATACATACATAAATAAATAAATATATATATATACACACACACACACACAAGTTTCATTAAAAAAAACTGACAAGGTACTGCAGTTAAGTTTTTTTATTCAATTTTTCTTGTGTTCTTATACTTTTCTTATTTTCTGGACATAAATTATGTAAAAATTGTCCAAAAGTTTTATGTCTGAGCACTTTTGACTAATTTTAGTTATTATCAAGGATGAATTTTATTTTCACTTTTAGCTGAATGTATGGATTGTTTTATGTATGCATCTAGAGTTATAGGAATGTTTTATTTTCCAAACACGGTCAGCACATTGTGGCCATGTTCATAGTTGATGTTATTGAGCATTGGTTTTTTTCTTTTTTTTTTTATTAATAATGGTTTCATTATTTTTAGCCTTTTTTTATATGTGGATGAGGCTATATTTGTATTATACATGAGTAATTTACAAATAGAGATTGGGAGGTCTCCATGTGTATTTAAATGAGACCTAATTAAGCTATGGTCAGAGAGATGTAACCTAAGTCTTCTTAATATAATTATTTATGAATTTGGATTGATCAGGGACAATTTCTTAAGGGTCATATGAATTCTATATAATTTGCATACAGAAGAAAATTATAAGAACATGAGAAAAATTAAATAAAGAAAGACTTAACCGCAGCACCTTGTCAGTTGTTTTTAATGAAACTTATTTAAAAAAGGGATTGCTGTTCAAATACACACACGCACACACACATATATATATATTACAGTAAGGTTTACCCTTTACAAGATCTGGGGGCCACTTGAGGTAGAGGGATAATGATTAACCCTAGCAAAGAACTGGTTAAGATTGTAGTGATTTGGAAAAAAAATCCTCTCGGGAGTTGGTTTCACAAAGCAGTGGTTTGTGGGAAGAAGCTGTTCAAGTGGAACTTATTCTCATTGATGGAATACAGAAGCAATGTGGGTGGTTTGCTACTATGTAAGTGGCATGGCGTGTTCTTGCTATGAATGTTTGACTTGGCAAGACCAGGGAACGTAGTTTGTCTTTCCATGGAAGTAACGGTAGAGCAGCGAGAAGCTTGCCACATTCCACCTGTGGGAGAGAGGTTGAAGGGTAGAGAATAATTTGTCACCAACAAGGGCTCAGAGATGCTTTTGGACTTCATTAAGGATGGAGAGTGTGGCCTTGGCACCTTCTGCCCAAATCTAACAGCAGTACTCTGTTTTACGCTGGATCTGGCTCTTGCTAAGGTAGAGGATAGCAGGAGGAGACAGGTACTTACTGAAGATGTACAAGAAAATTGACCATTCTACCTGCATCCTTAGCAATGAATTGTATGTACAAGTTCCACTTGAGGTTGGGTGTGAATTTGAGGCATGGTGCTTCTTCGAGAGGATCTCCATTCATCCTGATTGGTGGTAGTTTGGGGTCAGATCAGCAATTATTTATATATATATATATTGTTAGAGTCTAATTAAAAAATTCTTTTTTGTTCTTGTCTATTTTATTACTACTGAACAAATTGTAATATTCAAATTGTTTTCAGGACCTTATGCAAAACTCATACAAAAATTGTGAAGAAAAAAAAATACGTGATGACGATGTGATCATATTTAAACGGAATGCTGATCTTATAAAAGATTTCAGTTATCTGTTTGGATTGGTATTGCTTTTATGTCCATCATCTTTTTCATGTTGAATTGTATATGGTCTATGTTAATTATGTTTTATGAATATGTCCTGAAGATGGTCTATTAGACCGAAACGTCCGACGTTGACATTAAAACAGCATAATTGCATATTAGGATTTTTGTTTGTTTTTTCAGTATATTTTTTTTTCATAATGTCGGATCTATATCCATATATTTGCTTACATAGATAGTTGTGTAGTGCTGTTATTGTCATGGCTTTTCATTTTCAGAAAATAATTTGATTTGATTTGTTATTTTATGTAAAAAACAAAATGTAAATTGTTTATCTTTCAAGAAAAGACTTTCTTTAAAATCTAAAATAATATTCTATTTCTTCCAGAAGATTACTCTTGTTTCATTTTGTTGTATTGAAAGATTGGTTTAAAAAATATAATTGTTTTTTTAAATGTTAAATATTTT